CTTCACTGAGGGTGAGTAGGAGCCAATCAGAATTCAACCCTTTCAATAAATCCCAACAGATCTGAGCTATTCCTAACCTCCCTTGTTTTAGATTCCTCGATAATCTACAGTTGTTGGTCGTTTCAATTAACTTTGTATTGGAGTTGTAATTGATCATGATTATATTCTAGACAAATGGTTTTAAAATTGCATTCATGCATTCAATACGTTCTAAAATAAAACTTTAAAATACCATAGGTATTTGTAAACAGTCACTGGAAATGCATGGTGGAGTAGGTATAAGGTTGAGAGTTCGCATTGCATTTAAAATATATTAAGTACAAAAACTTGTGACTTATGCAGTGGCGGCCCTAGAGATTGAGGGGCCCAAGGCAAAGTTTATAGCGGTGGGGGGGGGGGGGGGCTCTCACCTGAAATATGGCTGTGCGGGGCCCCTGAAAAACGTGGGGCCCCGCACAGCCTTGTTTGCCTTTATGTAGGGCCGCCTCTGGATATGTGACACACAATCTGATGCATTTATTATGCGCCAAACATTTACAGTAGGCCTACTGCAATTAATAAGTTACAGAAGATAATTGTTAAGGTAAGGTATTTCAATATCTGAATAATTTTTATCTTCATTCAAAATATTACTTGCTCATATACATTCAAAACTAGAAAACAACTTTGATAAAACCGACACAAACTTTCAAAGATTAATTCTTGTCTTACTTACACCCTACTTTTCAGAGTGTCTTTCTACTTTTTTTTTACTTTTAGATATACTAAAATAATCAGAGAAATTGCCAAAATTTCTAAAATACATGAAAATCAATAAAAAATCAACCCTGACAGTTTAAAAAAGTTGTGGCAAACTGATGACTAAATTAAATACTTCCACTGTGTTTAACTATAATGATGGTAATGAAATAAATCGACATCCATTAAATAAACACGATATTGTTGTAATTTCTAATCAACCTTCAAATATTTTCAAACTTTTTCCATGTTGCAGGTGATCAGCTGATAAATTTACTATTTAGTGACAATGTGAAGATCTTCCTGAACAATCAAGTGACAAATTAGTGATCAAGTAAGCCATGGGGTGTGCAGCCAGTGTATCCACCCCTAGTGATCTCAGTGGTATCACTCATATCTGGGGTGTTGCTCAGAGACACCCTAGAGAAACTAGGATACTCCAGGTAGGTAACCGTCAAGTTTCTTGAATTCCCTTAATTCAACTATAAAACTGTGAGTGTCAGTTGAGGGTCAATTGAATTCTACAGGTTTGTTTTAAGATAGGTATGGCAAGTAGCAAAATTGTTAGTGATAAATGTACAGTATCTGCAAACTGACATAGCTTGTCAACAAACCGAACAACCTATACATGTGGATAAGCAGTGTGATTACCTATGATTTTAGGGATACATCACAAGATTGCAAAATATATTAAACTGTGATCTTTACAGCGTTGGGGGTTGTACAATTTTGTTTACAGTTAAAAAGGACCATAACAAACTAAATTTTTATTAAAACTGTTTTTTGAGCAAAACCCATTTTCCTGTTAATTTATGGGTTTTATAGAAAATTTTCCATTTAAAATCTACATTTCAAAAAACAAAAAAAAACACCTGGAGATTAGGTACAGTACCTACATACCAAATTTCATTAAAATTAGGTCACAGGTGTAAGTCTCTGTACAAATCCACACACATATCCAGACACACACGCACGCTTGTTCACACAGACATCACTTCAAAAACAATTTTTTTTGTTTTCATGGGGACCCAAAGCGTGTATTTCCACCCAAACTTGATCTCATAACAAAATTATTAATAGGTTTTACTTGCTTTTAAAACTAAAGCTTCACATTCTCCATAGGATTCAGGTAAAAATGTATACTTATATAACAAAAGGGAATTAATGAAAAGTAATTGTTAACGTTAGTTACAACAATTTATAAAGAGGTTCATAACATTTTACTTATCGGTAGTTTGATTTTTAGGTTGAAGAGGTTGACACATGTAAAACACTTCCAAAATCTTCTTCCACCAGGAGTGCGCCTCAAGATGAACTTGATTACCGATATGTGAGTATTAACATTGACTTTGGATGTAGCTACACGTTACAAAATATATCTGCAGCGTCTGTTATGTAAATGTATCTGCAGTTACGATTCTCATCCAACGTAATAGATAATACTGTAATCTGTGGGGTTATTTCCTCAAATAATTTAGATTTGGGTTTCTTCTTTCTATGTATCACAAAATTCCCAATTCGTCAGAGGGAAAGAAAATATTTCTTTGGGTTCCTCGCTTGTTGAATTTTAAACAATTTTTTCTGAGATATTCTGGTTTGTTTTGTTTTGTAAGTGTATTAATTTTCCTCTGTGTTTTTGTTATAAAGTCATTCCCCCATGTTTGTTTAGTTTTGGTCCTCTGATTTTTCAGTGTCTTTTCTTCTCTTTGTTTAACACACCTGCTCTTCTAATTATAGAATTTGCCTTCATATTTTTAAAGGTTTTCATGTCTGTCTGTTAGCTAATTTCATATCTTTTTCGCAAGTAGTTTTATTTTGGTTTTAATCTTTTTGTTAGAAAATTCTTTTCTATTTGTAAAGTTCTCTTAAACATTTTGTAGCATCACCAACTCTACTTCTTTGTACACAGACCGTTCATGTAGAAGGGGAGTGGAAAAGAGGTTTGTCAGCTGGAGGCTCTCGCAACAATATTGAGATGTTCGCTCACAACCCTCAGTTCTTACTGATAGTGGGCCAAAGATCTTCAGCTTACTCTCTTCCGGACACACCAACCATACGAGGCAAGCAAAGTTTAGTATAATCCTCGCTTTGTAGTTTCCATGTGAAATGTAAGGTGCCATTCACCCCTTGACACGGTCTACGTGACACCTTGGGTTGGTATGAAACCGAACTCAAGAAAAGGGCACAGAAAAGTGAGTGGAGAGTAGGATATAGATAGGTGAATGCAATCCATGTGTTAAGCTGAAGAAACGTGGATTAATATGGCAGTCCTTGCTCAGATGAAGAGTAGGGAGACAAGGATTCTGTTTGCGGACATTCCATACCGGGGGATTGGATTGCCAACCTATGACGAATCAGAGTGTAATAGTATATTACGTTACTAGTCCTGAAAATAAGTGTTTACCGGACGAGTGTGGTCGTTCCCGTGCGAGACGAAGTCGAGTACGGGATTACCATACGAGTCCGGTACACACATTTTGGACGAGTTACGTACGATAGTTTACGCCATACTACTAAATCCGTACAAATCCTTATATATTTCCACCAACTAAAGGACTAAAAATCACTAGTCATAAAGAGGTTATGTTTTTGTTTATAACCACTCACTGCCACCTAAATACAGTATAATCAGCTGATTGGTGTCCGGCAAAACTCATTGCAGCACAGTAGTACGCAATGAAACCCCATTTGAAAAAGCTGGCGGCAAACAGCTGTTTTCTGGACTAAATCCTTGCGTGGGAAGTTCGTCAAAATAATGTAGTGTGGCGTAAAAATGATTGCAATTAATTGATTTCTGTTCAAAATATAAGTACCTCAAACAAGATAATCAATGCAAAGACTTGGCATTTACAATACGACAGGTCAGCTGTGCTTGATCATTGGGATTTAAAAATGTCCTGGTTTATGAACCAGCTAGTTTCATAGTCAGTGAGAAGACTACAAAACACATCTCACAGTAAGTTACGTACTTGTGTTAAAATATTCCAAAGTTGTGCCTCATCTGTCATAGCACTATGTACAGAATCGTTGGAAATTGTTATGGAAATTTGGAATTTAATTTAAATCTAATTATTCTAGTTAATAATTGAATTTGCTTTGTCATTTGATGGTCTTTGAGTTATTCCATTAAATGTACCGGTAGGTAATAAAAAATGTAACCATACCATCTTCTATTTCTGAGTAATCTAAACGTAAAAGCTTTTCAGGTTCTCCCAGCGATATTACAGAGGAATACAGTTTAAATGTGAAGAGATTTCGTATACCAGTGTTTATATCTCTCTCGCAAACCGAAACCAAACGGCCTCTACATATCGCCTTCTTTGTCTATAAGGTGAGTAACCGATTAAAATAAAATTTACAACTTTTTGCCTATATGTTGACTACACTAATTTTAACAATAATGCTTTAATATATTTTATTTTCAAAAGTGACTCCCATATGGCGGGACCTTTTCTGTTATTCCAATATGTTTTTCTTAGATTGAAATGTTATGTTTGTCTATAAATCCTGTTTGGGGCTATAGGATATGGTTATATTGTGTAGGTTGGATTAGATTAGAACCAAAATATTGGAAACGGTCTCCACAGAGTACTATTTCAGTTTAAATTTCGAAATACATATTTGAAAGTTTTTCCAGACAGAGTCCATGCATGAAAGGTTGGAGCCAGAATATTTCCTCTGCGTCTCACCCGAGGTACAGTCCGGTGTATACGTCAACAGCCCAGAGGTCCAGCGAAGGTGTTGGTTATGGCCTGGACTGTACGTAGTGGTGGCAGCGGCCTTCCACCCTCACCACTCCGGCATGTTCAGACTCGTTGTCAGCTCCAATAGGCATCTTAGTCTTCAGCCGTTGGAGGATAGAGGACACCACTCTGTGTGAAACTGACATTGGGCCTTGGGAACGATAAGTTGATGAAAGAGATACCGGTATTTAAGATTGTAAAATATAAGGTAAGCATGTTTTAGCATTTATGCGTTAAGCTCATCAGTAGCTAGCTGTAGTGTATTAGCTAATAAAAAATAGACCAAATTATGCTGGTTGTGGGCAGATGGCATTACAAAAGTTGGCTGTAATTTCCTTTATTGTTTTTTGCAAAAGCCAAACTCAGACTTTATTCAACAATAGTCTATATTTATACAAGGCTCTTGATTAACTTGTTGATTTAGCATTGAACGTTTATGACACAACTGAGCTAACGTTTGATTTGTTGATCTGCCAATTGTTCTAAACAATCGCGACCTAATCAACACCTAACGAACAATATTTGCAATGTTGCCGTCTGGTAGTGCCCAGCTGTCCGATCGACAGGTCGGCTGTCTGTAGTTTTGTTGAATTTGTTCCAAAATGGGAATATTTTTGTTTCTACTTTTTCTGATCGTAGTTCAAGGTATAATAAACCAAGTCTTTTAAATTATGTTTTAAACTTAAACGGTGGCTGATTTTCTTAGTACAAATTTTTTCATACAGTATATGACAGCAAAAATGTTTATTAATACTAATAGAACCCAGAACCAGTGTTTAGTACCACATGCCATATTTCAAGTGTTTTTCCTAAATTAAAAAAGACTATTATTCAAATCAAAAGTTATCTTATTTTTGAAAGACAAAGTTTACGCACATGAGATAAGAAACACAAGAAGCCTGTAAAAAAATAATTGAAATTCTTACATACAAAATTTGTTTCCTCTCTCACACTAAAATTATTTTCTAAAAGTTAATCACTAAAATAATCTTATCTATGTCAAAACTGATATAAGGTATAATAAAACATATAGATTTGTTTGTAAAATATACATTGATTTAAAAATTATCTGTAATGCTATTAAGCTGATTGACCAAATATATTTACTGCCAGACACTATAGGTTCTGGCTTAATACGAGCATGACTTTGTAACATCTTTTTAGATGGCGAGTCACAAGGGTCAGACAGCAACCAATACCACAACAACAATCCACAGAACTGGAGGAACGGGGAAGATCCGTCGCAGTACAGAGCGTTTGACAACTACCGTGACAGAGTAGCGCAGACTGAGGCGCAGAGGATACAGAACTCGCAGCAGCCGCCTCCGAGCGCAAACAACTACGAGAACGTCAACAACGGACGGCCGGCAGACAGTGAGTATACTGATGGCATCTTAAATGATTGTTTTTTTGTGTGTGCTTCTACAACACTGGCAATGTTGTAACATGTTTTTAAAAGGGGACAGTCTTAAGCCCTGGGGTTTTTTACTATCTAACAACAACCTTTTGTTTAGGATCATTAATTGATAGCCCAATAAAAAATTGCATCTGGGTCCAAAACGATCTTGCTTGGAATCCAACCAGCAACCTTTAGATTTGAAGGCTTGCACTCTAACTACTTATCTACACAAACAACGAAACAACTAAGTCCAAACTTTTGAGACCTACAGACAACATTGTTACACACACTTATTACCCAACATAAAGGCAAAATCTGAAATATTTAGTGAAAAAAACACCATAATGTGTCAGAATCAAAACTAATAACTTGATTGCAAACACAGAAAATCTTAATGAGAGTCAAAGTTTAAATCTGCCAAACAGTATAATGTGTTAGCTGACCTGTATTCAATATTTAAATGTGATTAGATACAACCCTTTAGTTGAGGTTGGTGCTTGGGAATAGTGTTAGATTTTGATAAACCCGCTTATAATCTGAGAAATTTTCTCATCAACTCCTTTCATTCAAGTATGCAGTTTGTATGTGTGCAAATCATGCTTTTATCAAAAGTCTGTGTTCCTTATTTTCAATTACAATAGATTACCTCTTTCACAACAAAACAGGGTGGTTAATGTGATGAAACAGGTATACTACTGTTACTTTTCCACAGCAAGTACAAGAGGAAGACTCCTCGACTTCCTACAGATAGATGATGTAGACTCCGGTCTCTACGACAACCCGGCCAACCTCCCGGGGAACAGTTGCACTCGCCCTTGCAAAAAAAATGACCCTAAGGTGTGCTACTATCGCTTCGTCTTTGAGCCGTACTCAGTGCTGGGCAAGTGAGTAAAAGTTTAAAAACCTCAGAATACTTGCTAGGACAAAATAAAGAAGAAGTAGTACATAGATGGCTAACTCACATAAAAAAAGTTACAAGTGCACACAAAAAGTTCTGAAAAAACTTATGTTTTCCTTACACCTTGTTTCATTCAGAAGAACATAGAAGGAATACATAGATGGCTAACTCACCTAAGAAAAGATTTTCAAGTGCACACAAAAAGTTCTCGAAATACTTAGCTTTCCTGATCCCTCGTCTCACTCAGGACATAAAATTAACGTTTTAGTAACATGTAAAATAAAATTCTCCATTTAGTTTACTGACAGTAAGAAGACCCAACCGTTAGTTTTAAAAGAAAACCAGGTCCAAGGAACACATTTTAATACCATGTGACAATGATTTACTATGTCTTCACCTATGTTTGTATGTGCAGAGCTTGTAATGACTGCCTCACCAACATCTCTGATTGCTTCGCCAGAGGATGTGTGACAGCTGATGGTTTTGAGAAAGCAGTGCTTACCATCAACAGGCGAATGCCTGGACCCTCCATTCAGGTAACGGCAAATATTATTTTATTCTAATAGGTTAAAAATTAGGTCTTTTGTTTAGGGTTTATTATAAAAACATGTAAATAAATGTAAATGGATTGAACACCCTCCTAAACCAAAGAAGAAGACTACGCCGGCTTTACAATTTTTAAATTAATATGCATCATTGAAACTAACAAAACTGGTAATACAGCGACAAACAGGCAACACCACAAAGATCAAAGCACCCGCCCGACCATACATAAACTAGGAAAGCTACAAACTACCCTAAACAATCTAAAAACCTAAATTTCAACATCTTTTGTCCGAGAAATTAAACAAAGAAAGAAATACTTTCTGCCGTGACTCCACCTGTTTGTTGTTGCTTTGTTCGATCGACCCGACCCCAATACTAGTGACCCCCATAGGTGCAAATATTTTTGTAAATATATAGTGTTGGTAATGAGGATATAGTTTAATGAGAACCTTGAAGATGCCACACAAGCCTTTGAAATGCATAGGGTAAAGACATCTTCCCAGGCAACAACAACAAAGGTAATTAATAATAGGACTACTCTCTTGAAGAAAACTTCTTTGAGAACCTCTTGGTAGAACACAATTCAAGAGAAGAAATTTACCACAACAAATTATCCACCACCAAAAGAAATCAAGGAAAGTTTCTTCAACAGATCCAACCACTTCAAAAATGTTGTCTGATGGCGCATAAAGCATTTGAAATAAACTTGAAATTGATGATTCAAGATCTTTTGGACGGCCAGAGATTTTGTAAAAAAATGTTTTTCTAAGCAGCTGCTTTAACAAAACAACAAAACATCAGAATATTTTCAGTTATAGATAAGTAGAAGAAACGGTGAAGCTGTTCAGTCTATCTCCTCGAAAATCCTGTTCAGTAATCTAAAATCCTACTAAATACATCTAACTGAGCTTTGCAGGATTGTCAGAACAGCTGATTTAGAGAACTCACGCTCCTACACACACAGTCAAATATCTATCTTGAAATCTCATTGTTTGAACCAGTTTTTGCATAAATAAACTCGATTAGGCTTGATCAAATCCAGTTGACAAGCCTAAATGAACTTGTATAGTGGTTTTTTTTTAAATTTTAAACAGTGTAATATAGCAAAAATCAAATCTACATTGACTATATTCTACAACAGAAGTTTACATTTTGATCAAAACAATGATGAAATCATAGCTGCTCCCCTTTTATTGTGTTTTTCACTTTGTTTTTTTTTCAGAAATTTACATTTGTACACTTTGATTTGTTTTAGGTGTGTGAGGGAGATCTGATCGTAGTGGATGTAAAGAACCACATGCCAGGTCGCAGCACTGCAGTACATTGGCACGGAGTACGTCAACGGAACAGTAAGTTCATGGACGGAGTTCCGATGGTTACACAGTGTCCTATAGAGGAGTCGCAGATTTTCCGTTACACTTTCCGCGCAGAAGATCCCGGACTGCATTTCTACCACTCTCATGATGGTAAGTATAATTTTTTGAGGTTGGTAACATTGTATTCTACTTTAAAAACTCAATAGTCACACAAGTATGTACAAATTACATCTTACCAACCAGTTATTATTGGATTTGAGTGTTGATAAGGCTTCTTCATCTTCACCAAACCTTCCACCGTTTCTCATCCCCCACCTCTTGCCTTCTCACTCCTGTTTTTCCACACTATGCGGTTACTTTTCATCCCTCATACCTATCAATTACAGAATCACAATAATTTATTGTCCTTCAGCATTAAATACATGCACTACCAGTAGTGTAATTTTTAACATGCTAAATAAATCAAATACATAACTAGTAAGAGATAGTTTTCATCAGAATGCTCAGACTGCTCAAAAAAGTCTGTTACTAGAGGAATGTTGAGAATATTTAATCTAACAGGCACCTCATAAATGAAATTCATTGCAGGGAATATTTATTTCACTTTGTCATTGACATAGTTTAATTCTATTAGCTTAAAAAATACGTCATCAAGGACAATGGAGAAGAGGAAAAACTGATTTTACCAAATTCCTCTATAGGGATAAAGTAAGTGATATTACCGTTACCGTAGCTGGCAAGACCTAGACCCTTTTCTATTTTGATGTCTCCAGAGGTAAAAAATCTTTATATATACTCGAGTAATTTTGGTCTGATTTTTATTGCATATTTGGCAGGAACATGTAAAGCTTAAAAGCTCATAAGAACAAGGTGGTCTAGGTTTTTAAGTAAAAAAAAAAATGGTTTTTACGTGTTTTTGTTTTTACCCTTAAATAATAAATGCTCAATTTTCATTAAATTAAAACCAATTGTGTACTACTTATAAAAACTAATATTATTGTACAGTTACAATGTGAAGCGATATTATATATTGTGGGTATTTTCATTGATGTATCTAATGTCTACCAGGTCTACAGAAAGTTGACGGCATTGTAGGAAGTCTTCTTGTTCGTCAACCAAGGACAGAAGATCCCAACGACAGGGAGTACGACTTAGACCTACCTTCTCATGTGATTGTGGTACAGGATTGGTACGTATCAATCGTCTCAGCTTTACATAACCAGCATGCAATTGACTCTGGAAAATATATAGTTATTCAGTTTTACTAGATATTCTGTGTGGTTGAATAGGTAATAGGATTCCAGGCAGAGATAGCACACAAAATATTTACAGAACCATTATTTTTTTTACTCTTAACTGTCTGAAACTCTTTTCTTGGCTAAGTTAGTTCTATATCCAATCCTTCTCCTTTAATGTATTATTCCTAAGTCAAGCGCTAAAAATAACTAACTGTGTGATACAATGAGTCTAGCTAAATAAACAGATTATCCAAATATGCAACACAAACACTTGTTACAAGATAATTATTACTATATTCATCCTTTACTAATCCTTTACCTTAGCATCCATTGTCTAGGGTAATAGATTAGATAATTTTTACCGATGAGTGTTTAATAAATTAGACAGCTTTGTTACTGACTATGATCAGCTGGTTTTAAAGCCATATATCATTGATTATCCCAATAATAAGGACAGCTGTGTCCAGTTTGGAACCATTAAACATTTTTTATTTTTTTTTTACCAGTATTGAACTGGCAAAATTCTGATAACAGTAGACTCTCGCTCATCCGGACTAATGTGGCGGACGTCCGGTCCGGATTACAAAAAATCCGGACTATCGAGAGTCGATCAAATACACAGTACTGTATATAGACGTTTTTTCAATTTTGTTCCAGGTCCACAGTAATGATAGCCCAGGCATATGCACTTCCACCGGTAATAATTTTTACCGCCGTGTTATCCGAGTTTTTTCATTATTCAAGGTAGTCTACTGTACTGAGCCACTAAAAAAAATCACGATTGCTGATCCGGACTACCGGGAGTCCGGACAAGGCCGATCCGGATGAGAGAGAGTCTACTGTACCATGCAAGCACTAAATCCACTTAGCTACATACTTATATACATAACTCGATCTTAGCTTACTTAGATTATGAGCTTTTATTCAATGTTCCTCTTTATCCAGGTATCACATGGTGGCTGACGGGATGTTCCCCGGTCTTAGATACAGGGATACAGAGCAGATGGCTGCTAGCTACCTAATACAAGGCAAAGGACAGTACATCATGGTCAGTAATTTTATGTAAACACTGTATAAAAAAATATAAATAAATAAAAATTTTGCAAAACAAACTTATTTAAAAGTTTTTATTTTTTTGACAGAAAGATGATGGTTGTTCCCTCGATTACTGTGGTACGGTGAATGTAACAGAAAGAAACCCTTTGAGTGAAGTTGTCTTGATAGCTGAAGTCTTCAACATTCAGAATCTTATGTAATGTTACTTTCTGCCGTAGTAGAATCCAAAGCACTTCTTTCTAACTTATTTGTTAACTGTTTGTCAGGCGGACGGCACCAGGCTGGCCAACACTCCCATTGCCGAGTTCAACGTGACCCGAGGCAGCCGTTACAAGTTCCATATCATCGCGGGAACCTGCTTCGAATGTCAATACGTGTTCACCGTACAGAACCACGATATGGTCATCGTCGGGGGAGACGCTCAACCAACCAAACCCTACAGGGTCAACAGCCTCACCATGTCCCCTGGTAAGATATGTTTATGTAGAAGGGAGCAACTGAAATAACTTAAGAGTTTCTGTTTCTGAAAAGGAATGGAGTTCAGCTAGCTTTCCAACGGATATTAGTGTCCAAGGTTAAAAGTATACAGACAAAATGACAAAAACTACAACACTCGAGTATCCATTCCCCCCTGTACTTTCATTTTGCCAGGTAAAATAGCTGAACTTTATGACTTTAAAATAAAATCCTAATCAGCCGCATGGCTTTCCTCTAAGATAAATGATTTTGCATACCCCAAGTAGACTTTTCATCGTAATGTACAAACCGAAGCTTGTTTTGATGTGTGTTCCATATTGGCAGATGTTCTTCTTTTAAATGCTAAATAAATGTCTCCCTTAAATGTTAAATGCTAAATGCTCTCCCTTATTTTAGGGTGAAATTTAGGATTTGTACACTACTTTATGGATTATATCAGAGGACAACAGTTTTTAAATAAAAAAAAACAAAGAAGTAAACGACAAAACACTCTCTATAATCCAGTCGGAACTAAGCATAAAGTAATCTTTTGCTGATACATCGATATATAAGCGAGTACAATGAATCTTTAATGTAGAAAGCTTGTAAGGAATGTAATAACTTAGCATACATAATGTACTGGTACATATTCTTATGTTTGTATATGCTATCATAAGGTTAAATAGGAAGCATTAAATTTTAACACGTTCGCTGCGGCCCATCAATGGCAGGCGAAGCCCCAGTGCCACGCCGCGTCGAACGAACCAGATTGCCGGACGATTGGCTTTCAAATTTCGGTCTGACAAATAGCAAATAATGTGTGGTGATGAACTGTGTTACGACGAGAGTGATGTAGATGGCTAAAATACCCACAGATAGCAGCACTGCATGGAACGTAGTCGGTCCCATTGTATTGCCAATTGGAGGGAGAAAGACGGGACAACAAGTTGATTTCTAAGCTTGCTTTGGGATTTTATGGGGAAATTTACTACCAACTTACACCACAACAAAAAGCAAGTAACACACAACGCGAGACTAAAGTGTACAAGCAACGCTGACAGAGAAACAAAAATATACGAAAGGCATTGCCGTGTGTTCCTGATAGGGTACGGTTGCACCCGATGGGCGCCAAGCACCTTACCTAATAGAGAACGGCCGCATACAACGTGTTAAAGATAGAGATTATTTCTAGAGAGTTTTAGCCACAAGTATTTAAAGTTTAAAATTCCAATGTGTCTGTCACCAGGGGAGAGATTCAGTATAGTGATCAATGCAAACCAAAGGGTCGGAGCTTACTGGATGCAAGTCAGGACTGTAGGACTGTGCAGACACATGAGAGCCAATCAGGTGAGTCTTTCTGATCCTGCGTTCCGATCAAACATTTTATGTACTCGGATTGTTAAAACACTTCTTTTCACAACCAACATTTTAATTTTGTACATTTTCTTCCAAATATATTCCCTGCTGAATCCTACAGTGCTGGACCAATGTACAGTAGTCGCATTTAGTCTGGGCGCGTGGCTGCGCTAGGGCCCAGGGTGTAAGGGGGTGTTTATTGCTCATTACCAAAAATGCAAAAACATCTGGCCCACACAGCTCTGGGGTTGTTCAGCTGTCTTCGTGGCTAGGCGAGGTGGAAGGGGTGGGTTAAATGTATATAGAATGGCTAGTAGAGAAGGAACCGCGCGCCCAGACTGCTTGCACGTATTGTATAACACCATTGAATTTCGGATACTGAAGAAGACATTCTATATAGACTATCCAATTTTGTTATTGAAATAGAACATAGTGGAATGAGTCACCCTAAAGGCTATGTCACACTACGCTACTTTACTAGCAGCTAGCGAAATAGCAGCTACTAGTAGCCAATGTGACATAGGCAGTAGCAGCTACTAAGAGTAGCGCGCTAGTGAAATTTTACTAGCATGGAAAGTTGAACATGTCCAACTTTCCGTGCTACTAAACTGCGCTAGTGAGTCACGTGACCAACTAGCAGCTATCAAGTAGCGACTGTCGCTCAGTGTGACAGCTTCAATAGCAGACTGGCGGCTACTTGCACCACGTGCTGTCTACCTGATTTGTTTATTCTCGTTCATTTTGAATAATTTCTGAAGTAATCATGAGTGATCCGAAGTGGGGTGGGGGAGATGTGATTAATTTTTTGAACCTGTATAGGAAATATCCGTGTCTTTGGGACATAACTTCTCTTGAGCTAAACTAGTAGTAGCAGCTAGTGAATAGACGCTACCAAAATAAGTGTGACAGCAAAAGTAGCTGCTATTTCAGTAGCTGCTACTAGGTAGCTGCTAGTAAGTAGCCAAGTGTGACACAGGCTTAAGAGTGCTCACAAGTCTAAAATTATATTTTCTGCATTTGCTTTTGTGTGTAAGATAGTTTATGTAGCATGAAAGATGCTATAGCTTACAACCGTCCTATCAGTTTGACTTGGTTAAAAGTTTAGCATATTCGACATAAATGTGTAATTTACACCATTTGGTTGTTGGCTAAATTCATCTATGTCAGTTTTGATCCAAAAACTGGCAGCAACATTGCCTTGGGAATGGAATATATAGTTACATGAACCCAAGGATGCCTGCGTAGAATTTGTTAAATTATTACTGACAAAGATAATAAAATTTTGAATATTAAATCAAGTTCAAGCAAAAAATTTAAATTACAAGATGAAACAAACAACTATAAGATAAAAAAAAATTTACTTTAAAATTCTTTTGCTTTTGTCCCATCATTGCATCCTTGAACGATTCTAGATCTCCAGTCTATTCTAAAGGCTTACACGAAAATGGATTTGAAACAGTTATTTTTTTAACAAAGCAGTAATATAATTTTGTTGTCAAGGTTGCTGTGTTAAGATACCAAGGAGGACCACAACGACCCTCGACTGCACCTCCCAACCATCTGGAATCTAGCGTCAACAGAGTTGGGATCGTAAGTAGTTAATAAACTTCCTAAAACTTAATAAAATAGGGCAAAACTATTCCTCCTAGTTCATGTAATAAGCCATCTTTCTTTGAACAATTGTGTTGGTTGGTTATTTTGCAAATAGCCTTCATAAGTGCGAGTTTCTAGTTTCCACATATCAAACATATTTAAAGTAATTTTCTTACATTTCCAACGTCACCTCAGGAATGAAGTAACTAAAGTAAAATTAACAGTTCCAATCTACCTTATTCTTTTAACAAAAACCAAGCTACACTTCCAAAAGGATGAGAAATAATGTCAATTGAACTGTTGATGGACTAAATTCCTCAACTTATTTTGCACAAAATATATAACGTAAATTTCAGCATAAACAGTTTTATGTTTGTCCGTAGACAGTAAACCCAATCAATTCCAACTGCACGGCTCGCTCCAGGCAAAGACTAGGTCCGTGTGTCGCAGACTTGAGAGGCGTAAGGAACGCCCCTTCACGAGTGCTCGCCAGACGACCTGACATGAGAATCGTCTGGGCGTTCGGATTCTACTTCTTTACAGACGAGGAACTGTTCAATGGGAGAAAATATGATAGATTTTTACGTGAGTTACGCTTTAGTATTGTACTCTTCCGAGGTCTTCCAACATCCCTCTTCCCTCTAGGGTTGTAATTAAAAATCTTCCGTGGAAACCTGCTCTTGGCATTTTCTGAAGATGTTGTCTCCAGTTCTCTCTGTTCTCTTAAATTTTTTCATTTAAACTGTATATATTTATTCCTCTTCTTATCTCTTCACTTCTTATCATGTCTCTTCTTGTTGATCCATAAATTTAAATATAAAATACAAAAATGTTTACACTACTGTACAGAGGACAGACGGTAAATAAATTACTTTAATTCCGCTAATGGTGTGCTCTAAGTTTTGCTTCTTATTCTTCTTACAAGCAATCGTCCTCTACTAAGCTTCAGCTGACTAGCTGGGACCCCAAGTCCGCCCCTTCTACAATACATCAACAATACAAGCTTTCCTAATTGACACAACCCTATAGGGTTCACCCAAATTGTGAATCAATGTTTATAAACATTGATTCACAATTTGGGTAAATAAAAAAATTGTATTTCAGAGTCTCCATTCGACCCAGTTGGAAGCACTGTGAACGGGATAGTCAACATGTTCCCCCCCTCCCCTATCCTGTCGCAGCCGCGGGACGTTCCCCGGAACATCATCTGCCCTCCGGAAGGTTATCGATCCAACACCTGGAACACCGTACACAGAGAGTGTGTGCATGTGATGAAGGTTCCAGCCAACAGTGTGGTGGAGATAGTGGCCATTGATATAGGTAAGGGAATTGACTTTTGAATACTAAAATAGACTTTCCGTTTATGAACCAGATGTCACCAATTTCTTATTCCTAAAGAACATAGTCGAGTGAGCCAGTCACAGAGTTTGTTAGTGTCAAAAATTCTATTTTCTCCATTATTTGTTGTTCCTTTGATAGTTTATGTATTATAAAATATCATATTGCTTACAAAAAGTCGTTTTATCAGTTTAACTTTATTTTTACGGAAAACAGTAATTAACATCAGCGAGTCAACGGCTCAATTTAACATAAATTTTGAAAAAAAAAATGGCAACAACTTTTTACGGATGGAATATTTAGTTCTATCAATAGTCGAAGATATGGGACAGTATTTTTACAAGAAGTATTTTGTTTTCTACAGCTAAGTACGATCAGGCTGGTATTTCCCATGCCATCCACCTCCACGGCTACGACATGTACATGGTGGAACAGGGTGTCATGCCGCAGGGAGTGCCTTTCAACCAATCCTATCTGCAGCTGATGAGGTAAAAGTTATACTGTAGCAATTAATAAATAAAGTAGTTGCAGTGTTAAGAGGTTTTAGGTTTCCTAACGACAGCACTTTAAATAGCTAATCGCAGAATAAAGTAACAGCGAATCAAGGTAAAGGCTTAAAAAAATGCAACGAGTGAAAACAAATAAATACAATGACTTTAGGTAACACACCTCAACCTGACCGTGGATATATGTATGCGGAACCAAACGCCCGGTCCAAACGAGGGTGGCATTTAATGACTTTAGGTAAAGTAGGTTAAAGATACTTAAGAACTTGTCATAATGATTAAAGAAACTTAAGTAATCAAGGAAAAGTTGTGGCAATACTTAAAAAACCTTTAAATTGAGAATCCATTGTATCCAATGAAATAATGTAATTTACTTAAAATTAAATTTGAAAATGTAGTTTAAAAAGATTTTGTACCAACACCATTTACGTCACTCAATACTAATGATAGCACACACTGCTGACTGCTTCAATTGATCTTAAAAACAAAAGAAGGGTGTAGGTAAAATCATGCATCATTTATGTTGAAAGTTAAAATGACTGTAGCACTTGAGATAAAGTCTAAATTTAAAAAAAAAACTTAAGTTAACAAATTTAGAAGTAGATTGTAAAAAGGTTTAATTTACCTGTAGCGTCAATTGATCCTTAAGCTATGAAATAACTACGGCTGTTTCTCATCATCTCCCGCTACCAGTTACCCAACTCGTGTCCGGACTACTTGGACAAGTTTTTTAATGTAAATATTTAAATGTTTTGTATGTGTTTAGTGTTATGTGTCCTAAATGTGCTGATGACTCCATCCATGGATGAGAAGACCATATTTTAACGTTCACACAACCTGAAGATGTGCTCGCTTAGCAGCACGAAACGGCCGTAATTATTTCATAACTTAAGGATCAATTGACGCAACACGTGAATTAAACCTTTTATTTTTGCATCATCTTGATCCAGAGGGTAACCCAACATGAGATTGTAGATGCTGTGCAGCAATCACAAATTTAACCAGTGTAGCAATGGGGTTAACTTTGTTAAGCAATTATATATTTCTGTGGTATTTTATAAACAAACTATAGCAACTCCAATAGAGAATAAAATTATCCAACTTTCTGATAACGATAAAATTATAAATGACAATGATAGGTTCTAAATTGAAAAATTCTATAAATAAAAGAAATGTTACAATTCTCATCTAGTGTTCACCACACTTAGTGACAATCTTGTTTGCCCTAGGTATCTGGACTCTGACAGAAGGCCACGTATTCCTCAAGACCTCGCCACAAAAGATACTTACCCTCTCACGGCTGGAGGCTACGCTGTCACTAGGATTGTTACTGATAACCCAGGTAGAGTACAGTGAATAGTGATAGAAATGTGAGTTTAAACCTCCTAAAACACAAAGCAGATGGTTAATTTATTAAAGTAAGCTTGATGTTAAATTATTCTAATGCGAGCACTCCTAAATAGTAAATAATTTGGTAATACAGTAATCTGTAATGAATAACAAAACATCTATTTCTTATTATATGTTAACAATGTGTCTAGAAATCTCTTCATCTAGTTGTCTACTATCAGCGAATATTGGTTTTGGTTCGGATTGAGTCCAAAAAGATTGATATCAATCTTATGTTTATATACCTATTGCAAGCAATTTATACCGATTTCAAGTTTACCTTTGTTGGGGGAGCTAACGGGTGAAGTGGTAGAGTGCAAGACTTCGGTCCCCGAGATCTTGGGTTTGAGTTCCACCAATCTCCAAGGCATGTTTCTAAGGGATAATGCCGCAACCCCAAGGCCTAGTCTGAAGTAATGTGAAAAAATCCCAGTTCGGAGCCTCAGCCTAGTGACCTAGGACAAAAAAAATTCATGGATAAATCGTTTACAACGATTGTCTCTGTCTGTTAATTAATTCTCCAACAAGCTCTTGTCAAGACACATTAAATTTGCTCAAATTTGATACCAGCACTGGGTACTTTACTTTCTTCATCACTTTTAGTCAGTTCCAATCTCCAGTGACGCTTAAGTCGCAGTAGCCAATAACAATGGTAGGAAAAATCGTATTTGTATTTGACAGAAGCGTTGACTTTCCATATTAGATCATTATCAGCTAAAACTAAACTAAACAAATTGAGATGGGAACTGGCGAGAAATGGTGAATAGAGTAAAGAAATCATCTTTGGAGTCAGATTTTAAGCACGCTTGACTGCGACAGGAGTTTGTTTAAGAAATAAATTTATGGACAGCCGTTGTAAAGAGTTTATGCCACTACTAGATTTTACATACATTGCTGAAAAAATAATGACAATACTATAACCATGAAATATGGGAAAGCCCATGAATACAAGGTAAAATAGAAAAGTTCAGGAGCACTACCGTAGTGCTAAGGGTATAGATGATTATGCAAAATGTTGATTTATTTTACCTTCATGAAGCAATGTATACATTCCAGGCTACTGGTTCTTCCACTGTCATTTTGCCTACCACCTGGATTCTGGAATGAGCGGTATCCTGCAGGTAGGAGAGGCTAACACCTTCCCTCGTCCTCCGGACAAATTCCCGACTTGTGGGGACTTTCTTCCTGTACCTCCAGGACTATAAACATATTGAAACAAGTTCACCCATCTCAGGTCAATTTGAATTAAAAGAATGTTAAAACACTTGTCGATTTTGATTTCTTTTACACCTAATACCCATGGATTAGCAGCTCCTTGTTGGGTTCAGGGAGAATCTCGTGGGAGAAAGAAAGGGATGGAATGGAGGCAAATCCCTCCCAAAGGTCGCTAGGAACATTTGGACGAATGAGAGGATAACGACTAAGAATAAAAGGCCATCACAAGACTCATTGCTGTGACAGGGTTACGAGAGACGAGCAGAATTCTTGGAGAACACCACAGACAGGAAACACCCGGTACAAAAGCGGCGACTGATGGGAAGTACAACTCAAAACTGCGGTAGCAATAGGGGTCGCAATAGGAGACACGTGGCTTGAACCTGGCATATTAAACTGGTGTTTTATGTTGCAGTGTAAAAAAGTATGTCACAGTAGGATAGTTCGTCACACATACTCCTATAATACCCGATATGAAAACTAGATTATGACTCTGCAAGAGGATTCAAAATTTTACTCCTCCTCCCAAAAGACTCTATCCTCCTTTAAGTACTTCTAATACTAATACTTGTGGTATTTAAGAGAGGTTTTCCATAGAGACAAAAGTTTTAATAACATTTCAGAACATGGAATCTGAAATCTGATCCCATCTTTAGGTGGGAAGTACCTAAAGAATATATTAGTAATAAACAAGATGATGAGAACACATTACTTCTACTCAAGATGATGGCTAAAATGAAATCCACCACCATCTTGTGCAAAGCAAACGTGTTCATTGTGTTCTCCTAGTTGGACTTGAAATTATTAATTTTTTTTAATGGTCACATTTTGACAATGATAATGCAACAAATTGACAACTATTAACTGGTCATACTAAATAAATACTACACATTGTGATCATAAAGCTAAAAAAACACATAACATTTGTTAAAATATTTACTTTGTAGATAAATGGGTTTGTTGGTAAACACATTGAACAACTTTTCAAATTTAACAGCCTTGACACCCTTAATAAAAAATATAGATAAAAATCTACTTCCACATTTTCCAGAAGGTGTCCAAATTAGACTGAGTAGGCTTATGAATGTTGTCCGGTTCCAATAATTCCATGCCTGTGTAGGCTAAAATGTGTAAATACCGGCAAAACAAAACATGTAATGTTTATTTTTGTGTATATAAGTTTTGTTAATACTCAAGACTTATTTTAAATGAATGAATGCTGCTGAAGATGAGCTGTAACAAGCTTGAAACATGTACAGCATGAAATAGCTCCATTTTGACACCTGCTGGCAAATACATAAGGAGATTTTCATATATTAATGAACATTGAAAAACGTTAATTTGGTTACAGAAAATTAAAGGGGAGTAGGAGTAGGACATCTTTAGATTCATTGACAGCGGTGACAACTTAAATAACATACAGTTGTCATCTAAGATCTTGAATAGCAAGAAAATGATACTCATGCTCTCTTTTTAACAAAAGCATACATATTTTTCCTGATGAGCTTGAGTAAGGAAAACTGTTTCATTGTTTCCAAACCAAATTAATAAATTTTAATTATATCATTGAGGTTGACAGGTTGAATAGATAAAAATAAAAAACCAATTAATAACATAATTTATATATTTATTTTTTACATCTATACAACATAGTCCTATCCACAAAGTTATGATTAAATACAAAAGAGCGTGACTAAGAAAATTAGCTGATTCTCAAGCATTCTATCACAGCCTTTGAGAGAATTATAAAAGTAAATCACACGTTTATTATGATTATGTAATAATTGTAATCACAAAGAAAACCAATTGTCGTTTAGGTTATTCGTTGTAAGATGTTGGTTATATTCGTGATATACACGGTAAAATGTACCTAATGTTTTGAAAACCTGTCGGATACTTTTTGAGACTTTAAGTTAATTTATGAATTAATGATGCCATTACTTAGGAAATACAAATAGTTTGAATCCCTCTAAAAAATGACACCTCAGGTATTAATTTTATAGACATTAGACATGTATAAACATTTAGTTCATAAATTAGAATAAGTCATAAATTAGAAGTAAGGATCATATAAACTTTGCAAGATTTTATTGACAATATTCTAATTGATTAAAAGCAGAATGCAATGCATTGTGGTTGGGCCTTAAAAATTTATCTATTTACACTTGAAAATTTTCATCTTGGTTTTTAGGTTAGGGTGATATGAGAAAAGTATGAAATCTTGTCTTTATTGAGTTAAGAAACTTCATCAAACATTCAAATTTATCGACTAATTTAAGAGTATCGAAAACATTGTTTTGGATAAAATCTTTTAGAGAATAGCTAATCTAGTTTTTTTTACCCTAAACCATTGAAACTGTGATTCTACAGCCGTGCAACTAAATCACATCCCATTTTTTTTACCCAAAAACCATTTTAAAATTTATTTTTGGTAACTACTCTTAAATGTATGTTTCTGAATTTTAATAAAATACCAACAAGGTTTGATTTTTATCTCAGTATTTATAATATTTACAGTATCTTTATTTACACTTTTACAATTATTTACCCATATTGTTCCCTCTATGGTTAAATTAATGTAAATGTCAAAAATTATTGCACACTTACTCAAGAGAGTGACATAGGTAGTAAATGAAGAATATCAACGATATAAATTATTGGAACGTCTAATGTAAATTTTACATAAAAATTCAACTGAACAGAATTTTGATGATGTTTTTATAATTTTGTCATGACTGCCGGTAAATAGTTGTTAAACATAACCATGCTTTTACATTTTATCAGAGGTACAAAGAAAACATAATATATTAAAATAATTGTTTAAACTTAACGCCAGCATGCCATCAGTATGACAATGAATTGTAAATCACCATTCGGCTATATTTAAATCTTTAAGTTAAAAATAAAAACAAAAAGCAACACGATTTTAATCTTAAATAATAAAAAAAGTTGAATAGTTAACTCCAAACCATGATTTCACTTTTAATATTTATATAGAGCTTTTAGATTTTACATATACGATTATTTTGAAATTTTACAATTTTTTCCTGAGAAACTTAAGTTAGTCACTATTACATGTTGATACTTTGATAGCTAGAAACTCCATAGAATCACTAAACATATAGTTATGACATCAGTACATCTTTATCTGTAAACAATAAAGTATCCAACAAAACTATTACATACAAAACCATAATTATTTACAATAGTTAGGCTGAGAAACATCAGTTTAAAACTGACAGTATTCATTCATTAAACACTATCAAAAATATGCAATGCAGAAAATTAATAATCAAGACAAACACAGAAGGCTATCTCAGTAGATAAAAGATAAAACTACATAAAGTATGTGCTATAGGAACAAATAATTAGGCCTACAATAGATCTACAAAGAATAAGGATAGGCCGTGAGGCTGATTAAGTATTTTTTTAGAGGAAGGATTTTAGCTAGCTTACCATGGAAAATAAGAGGCCACAGTTTATAGACACAATAATTAAGGTTACAAAACATAACACTGATATTTCTGTAATGTAGGACTTTTCCAGAGGGTTTTAAAACAGATTTTCTTTCGTCAAAGCTACTTTTTGCAGGAAATACTAAACAATCATGAAATATCAGTATTTTACTAACCACTAATAAGTGATAAATGTGACCTTTTTATATATCCCCACTTTTTTTGGTTTTTTTTCTCAAAAGAGCTAGCTGAACTGTACTCTTAAATTCTTCAATAAATAAACTCTGTAAACTAAACTGTATCAACAACTGAGGTTTGGTATTAAATAAGAGTGAGATCTAAAACACAAGTAAATAGGAATCAGTGTTTCCTCAGTAGTGGATTTTATGGTTAAAATCAAATGACAAATGCTGAGTAAAAAAGGGGGAGAGATTAGAGATGAGAATATAATTTATTGTGACGAGGAGCAAATAGCAGATACAAGAAATTGTATCTTGAGTGAAATAATGTTTCTCTATGACTTAAGACAAAAAATGTATCAAGAATAACTTTAGAAGCAACAGACAGAATGGAATACAATAATAATCCAAGATAAAGTCGCCGCCTTGTTTCATTTTTTATGTAATATAAATGGTCGGCAATATTAGTTTGCATAGCATAGGAGCGTTAAAAACTAGTAATTAATATATTCTAAAACAGTGTGAAAAGTAACAAATTGCAGAAATCAATAAACCTCTTCAAAACTTAATAAAATCAAATAAAAATTATTAAATTATCTAGTGAAGCATGGATTCTAGGAGAAGAAATGTGGTCCAGAAAAGTATTACACATTAAAATTCAATAGAAAATCTACAGTAGAATGTCGGCGATATTAATTAGACTGTACAAGGATTATATCCAAATAATACATTGAACACTTTTACACCGAGGTTATTTCACAAGATTTCAACAGATTGACTTTAAAACTAGAGAGAACGAGATTGTCACAAGTCGTCGTCATCTCCGTGACCGCCCATTGTCAAATTAGTGACGTCTTTGACAATCATCTCCGCAACTCTCCATGCCATCTCCTCTTGCGCCTGAAACACAGAGATTGTCACAAGTCGTAGTCTTCTCCGTGACCGCCCATTGTCAAATTAGTGACGTCTTTGACAATCATCTCCGCAACCCTCCATGCCATCTCCTCTTGCGCCTGAAACACAGAGATTGTCACAAGTCGTAGTCTTCTCCGTGACCGCCCATTGTCAAATTAGTGACGTCTTTGACAATCATCTCCGCAACCCTCCATGCCATCTCCTCTTGCGCCTGAAACACAGAGATCGTCACAAGTCGTCGTCTTCTCCGTGACCGCCCAGTGTCAAATTAGTGACGTCTTTGACAATCATCTCCGCAACCCTCCATGCCATCTCCTCTTGCGCCTGAAACACAGAGATCGTCACAAGTCGTCGCCTTCTCCGTGACCGCCCAGTGTCAAATTAGTGACGTCTTTGACAATCATCTCCGCAACCCTCCATGCTATCTCCTCTTGCGCCTGAAACACAGAGATCGTCACAAGTCTTCGTCATCTCCGTGACTGCCCATTGTCAAGTTAGTGACGTCTTTGACAATCATTTCCTCAACTCTCCACGCCCATAGCAATTCCTTCCTGACCCATCAACACAAAATTGTTCATAGTAAACAAATATTAATTTTGGGCTTGTTCAATATACTCCCTTTAATGTTTTTAGACTGAAAAAAACTTACAAGGTACATAACAAATATAATAAATAACTAACATGTATAAAAGTGATAATTCTCTCGAACAATTCAACCACAATCATTCTGTGGTACAAATTCAACAACTACTAACAGCTATAATATCATCGCAAAAATTAAAACTAATTTAAAAAAAATTGGCTGTGGTAAAAGCATGTCATTCCATACAGGGCCCTATTGCATAAAATTACAATTTTACAAGTTTACAGGCAAATTTCTGAAGAATTCTTCAGAAATTGTAATTACAGGTGTTGCATTAACTACAAGTTACAGACTTGTAACAACTACTCAAAAACCCAAATTTACAGGCATTTTTTAACAATTTTACAGGTGTGTAAACTTGTATTTACAATAAAGTTATTACAATTTTACATATACCTGTAAAAATGTAAGAATTTTTTACCTAGCTTCTTTGGCCTGTAAACCTTTGTTGCTATTGTACAAGTTATTCTTTTTTAAGACAAAGATGTGGAATAGTGATGATTATTCTGATCGACAACTCCAAAGAAGGACCTTCAAACTGGAACTTAAAACTAAACAGTAAGTGAAGATGACATAGTCAAATAAGGACTATAGCATTTATGATCACTAAATTAATTAGTTAACCATTGATTAAAATTAATTTAATAGACTATCCACTAACTATAATACCCCCGCCGCAGCAACCCTGCTGACTAAGCGAATTTCCATTTGTCTGAATTGATTTTCAATAAACCTAGATCTATTTAAATAACATTAGGCTTAACGAGTACGTAGGTTTGCTGCTACAAGGCAACTAATAGTGTATTTTCAGTAAAATAATAATAGCTTAGTATAAAATAAATAAATTTGCCAAGTTTGATCAAAATATATCAATAACCAAGCAAACTACCACATTTTACAATAATCTCCATAAGAATAACATGGGAGATAGAAACATTTAAAGTTTTTTTTTTATTTTCTCCGTTACCAATAACCGTACAAAAATACTTTGATTTACTAAATTATTTGGTTTTAAAGCTCTTTAAAAAGGTCTGAAGAGAAATTGGGAAATTTTGTGTTTTGAGGGTCAAAAATTAGAAAACCATTTTTTTACCCCATAAAACCCCGTTCCCTTGGTCCGATCATGCTGGTTCGCGAACTTGTACGAATAAACGTAGGTTACACATTTGTACCAAATTTCATCAAAATCAAATCATTTTTGCTCAAGTTATCGCACTAACGGACACACACACACACAAATATATATGAATTTGGTCAGATGGTGTTTTTGGCATCAAATCGAAAAAGTAAATCGTTCCTGGGTCTAGGTCTTACCATAAGACCTACGGTAATAGCTTATTCCCTATATGGGAAATTTGAAGACGTATGTGTAATTTTATTGTAAAATTGTAATCAGCTGTTAACATTTTTTGTACTTGTTCTTACAAGTATACAAATTATTCTAGCAACACCTGTAATTGATAAATTGTAATTACAGGGACCTGTAAACTGTAAATATGTAAACTTGTACTTGTAGTTTTATGCAATAGGCCCCTGGTTTTGCAAACACTAGCATTCCAAAATAATCATGTTTACGAATATATGTTCTACCAAACAATTCAGCATATACAATGAAAACAAAAACTATGCTCTATGATAAATAAACAATAAATAAAAACAAAAACTATGCTCTATTCTAGACATAATTAACATCCACAATAAAAAAACTCGAACTGTATGTATGTGATGGTACTTAGGAAGACTTTAGTTAGTGCAGGTAACTTACTTGCTAACAGCTAAAAACACTTATCTGAAAATAAATCTAAATTACCAAGCCAAAATCATAGGGTATCTGCAGGAAATGTGTGCAAAATCATTTAATAATAAAACATGCAACGATATCACTATTTTTTGTCGGATACTTACACTAGAAAGGGTCCTTATGTACTGCACAAACAATCACAAACGATATTATTTACATAAATTAAATTGTATGTAATAAATTAAACAACTAACTCAAGTAACCATACATTGTGAACAATTAGATTGAGTAGGGAAGTAGTTGATATAAAACAGATAACTTAAAAAAAACAGACCTATGCTTTGTGTGAAAAAATTTTCCACACAAAAAAACCCAATGAAGTAGACAAATTGTTTTTATTTCATTACTACATTTTCTACTACTTGTTAACAAAACAGTAGTCTTGTTATTCCATTATCTTATAAGAAGAAAAATCCAAATACCTATAAAATATTACATTATATAACATAACATTACTAACCAAAGTCCTACAAATTCATTTATAAGTTATAACTTACCTTCTGTTCATCTTTGTTGACAAGTTTTTTAACTACTCGAGTAATTCTCGATTCTGTAAAAGTAAAAAACATGCGTTAATAAAATGTTCACTGAAACATTTATTAGTGATGAATCAGTGCTAGATTTTCAAAGTCAGTTCCAGGATTGTTTAAACACCAGTTCTGGGTACCAGTGATCTTTCCAAGAACCAGTACCAACAAACTCCTAATAAGTTATAAGCATGCATACCTATTATTATATTAAAAATAATCAATTAAAGCCACCATGGAAAAATGTTCTCTAACTGTGAGTTTCATAGAAATAATAATACATTTTTTTTGTCTCTGTACTCGTCATCATAATGAATATAATATAATCATACGACAAAATCATTTTAAGTTACAAGGAAACATACCTGACTTTTTGTCGGGTTCTGGTTCGATGTCCGTCTCGAACCTCCCTAACTGGTCAATTCTTCCGATGCTTAAACCTCTGAAATAAGAAGAGAAACTGTAATAATTAACAAAATATGGGAAAAATCAGGAAACATTCAAAACTTCACGATACCAAAAAAACTCAATATCTTATAACCCAATTCTAATTACAAATAAACCACCTTTTCCTTCGTTGAACCCCCTTCTTCTCCTCACCTGTCATGGTGTCTCCGTCGCCAGATCAGGTCAGGGTCGAACCTACTCCTGGACGACTCCACGCTGATGTCCGTTACAGACGACGCAGGACTGGAGTTGGCTCTCGTCGCCCTCATTAGTTCAGAGATCAGCTGTACGTAGCTCTGTGGACGACAAATCACATAGCTAGAGTATTTATAAAAAACCGTTGTGGGTAAACAATCATAGATTGAACTCTCGCTAAATATGTATGACAGATTTGGAAACTCAGATAACGCATTACCGGTAATGATAAAATGACAAGAAACAGTAAAGATTAAAAGTTTATTTTCATTCACTCTTTGCACACGGAGGGAAGACATCCGCTCCTGATTATCAGGAATGAAATAAAAATCCAGTCCTGAACTTAAAGTAGGCCTACAATTGTGTCCATCCCTAAAATAATTAATTTACACAGTTTAATCGTCAAACTTATTGTTATCAGCACAATTACCTGAGATGACAGGAAGAGTGGAAGGCAGACGTAGCGCAAGTACGCCCACACCTTGCGCAGCGCAGGCTCCAGACAGTCACTGAGCGGCGCGGCGCCCTCCACACAGATACGAGACTCTACTTCACACCTGGTGGCGTGGTCGATCCCTAGCGGACATGTCGCCTGCAGTGACAGGTACCTGCGTCAAGCAAAATATGTCGAATCACTGTAGTAGTGTGGTTTCCCTAAACATACTTTAACCCTGACTGGAGTTTGAACTAAATAAAAAGGATGGCGTGCAGTTTCAAATTAAAGATATTGCCTGGATTGGGGAGGATTTGGATTAGGAAGGGTGTCTTATTGCTGTGGGACCGCTGGGAATAAACTCCAATACAAGTAGTGATATCACAAGAGTAACCAAACATTGGCCTGGTTGACCATCATAAACTAACTTGACCTTATACTTTCTTTACTTTCTTTCTTATAAAATGGCGACCATACGAAGTCGGTATTTTAAGTATGAATGGAGATAAGTGTAGGACGAGTGGCGCGATCTTGTAGTCTTGTTAGTGACTTTTGGATTTGGATTAGGAAGGGTGTCTTATTGCTGTGGGACCGCTGGGAATAAACTCCAATACAAGTAGTGATATCACAAGAGTAACCAAACATTGGCCTGGTTGACCATCATAAACTAACTTGACCTTATACTTTCTTTACTTTCTTTCTTATAAAATGGCGACCATACGAAGTCGGTATTTTAAGTATGAATGGAGATAAGTGTAGGACGAGTGGCGCGATCTTGTAGTCTTGTTAGTGACTTTTGGATTTGGATTAGGAAGGGTGTCTTATTGCTGTGGGACCGCTGGGAATAAACTCCAATACAAGTAGTGATATCACAAGAGTAACCAAACATTGGCCTGGTTGACCATCATAAACTAACTTGACCTTATACTTTCTTTACTTTCTTTCTTATAAAATGGCGACCATACGAAGTCGGTATTTTAAGTATGAATGGAGATAAGTGTAGGATGAGTGGCGCGATCTTGTAGTCTTGTTAGTGACTTAAGGCCGACATTCCTTAGACACAGCAGTTAATTAATAGCCCATACAGCTAATGGAAACTAAGGGACCTACAGTACTAAGGGGGTTTATAGTGGAATCCGAACCACATTTTTGCCTTGGTATATACGAATTGGTCTAATTATCAGGATAGTACTGCGGAGTGTGGATAGCCGTAGTACTCACTCCTGCGGACGTTAATCCACACCAGGGAGTATTGCATCCAAAGTGCATGCCTATAAATATCCACAATTCGTGACCTCCTAGTAGCTGGATTACAGGACGACGCCACCCGTCCTAGTTTACCTAATCTGATGTTTATGATTGTAGGATAAGGATACTCACTTGTCGTATATGGAGATTGCTTGGTTGACGGACGTGGTAGGGTCACTGTCTGGCCTAAGCTGTCTCTGGAAGGTAGTAGCAGTCTGCCAGAATTCTATCACGCTTCCACAGCCCTCCTGCTCCAAGAACTGAACAGAATATCTTTTGCTTAGAAAGTTTCTAAATAAAATAAGAGTAACGTACTATTTTATAGCTGTGGCAATTGGTTTTCAACATTGCCAATATATAAATTTGATTAGTATATTTGGGAAGTGGTTCAAGAACTAACCACTGTGCAATTAATCATCCACTTACCAACTGCAGTCTGAACTCAAACTCCGCTGGATTAACCCTTACCGCGCTGTAGACGAATATACTCGCCGAAATTGTCTTTGCTCAAAACGCTATGGACGACTATACTCGCCTTATAATACAGAGTGCATTGGCTGGTCTTGGTAGTACCCAGTTTTGCCGATAGAGTGCAGCAGTTGTTGGGACACATCTCACGTGATGTAAAATCACAATAACAATGGTCCCCGCCCTCCGATTGTTCTCGGGAATGAAAAAATGGCGGCGCGCTACACCAGCCGGCCTCTGCTGTGAGAGACGCTAGCGCTGTGGACAAACTAACTCGCAAGTGTTTAGTTCACTCGCAGACTTGGCGCGAAACACCGTTCTCCGCGTGCGTTCGTTATTACATTGGTTTTATTGGCGGTATATTATTATAATTATATATTTTATACAATATATACATTTTATACAGTAATTATACCATATTTTTTGTGAGTTGTGCGTTTTATATAATTAGTAAAAGTGGATTGTAGTGTGTAAGTTGTATCTTTGTGTGATTGGAGTAATTATTTGTGTGAAATGGAACATCCCGATGACCCAGATTTTGAGGACTTTGTAGTCAACGTTCTGAATACTTCGTTCAGTAGTAATTACAATGATCACCTTTTTGACAGTGACATGGACCAGGACGACATTTTGATCAATAATATTGCCGATGCGAGTGAAAGTGAAAATGAGACTGATATGTGCCTTGATTCCATGGACGTTTTACCACTCCCAGCCCATGAAGATCCCCAGCCAAGTACATCAGCTTCACTGACACAACCATCTCCATTTCAAACACGACCAGATCCTCTCGACGTGTTACGCTATGACCCTGTCGCCATACCACCACAACCAGACTCAGTCGCCGCGCCTCTGTCGCCACCTGTCACGTCCACAGCGCCGCTCCCAACACCTGTCACCCACCCCGCGCAACCCCCCTCGCCTGTCACTCCCCCGCGTCCTACAACTACCGCTCAGCCACTACGTAATCAAGGTAGACCTACCCGACGACGTGGTCGTGGACGGGGTGGACGGGGATCAAATCGCATTCAGTCAGCGCAAGCCCAAAACCCAGCAGGCCCCCAGCCTATTCATTGGGCTAATGTTTCAGTCAATGACCCAGGACCTAGTGAGACGCTTCCAATTTACAATGTAAATAAAGGTCCTGTTCTACCTTCAACATTCGATTCCTACTCTGAGCCCATTGACTATTTCTCTCTTTTTTTCAATGATATGATTATTGATCTTATTTGCTCTGAAACAAATTTGTTCGCCAATAACAAACTAGCCAGTGGTCCTTCTCCTAAGGCTCGTATCACTAAATGGCAGGATATCACACCAATCGATTTCAAGGCATTTTTAGGTGTGATCATCAACATGGGACTGATGCCTCTTCCAAATATTACCAACTACTTTTCAACAACTAGGGAATCAAACATTCCATTTTCCAGTGACATTTTCTCAAAAAACGAGTTTGAAAGAATTTTTTGGAATTTACATTTTACTCACCGGAACAATGACGAACCTGTTCCCAGAGGTTTCCTCATCGCTCCCATTTTGGAACATATGAAGAAAATGTGTAGACTCTTTTTTACTCCTGGTGACAAAATTGCAATTGATGAAAGTACCATCTCCTTCAAAGGAAAGGTTTACTTTCGTGTGTACAACCCGAATAAACCAGTGAAATTTGGTATGAAGTTGTTTGTTGTATCTGACAGTACGAACGGTTATATTTACGACTTCATTCCGTATTTTGGTAGTGAGGATCTGATTCCTGGAACCAACTTACTAAAGACAACGCAAATTGTCAAAGTGTTGAGCGAGTCGGTGGTGTTCAAAGATCCGCATTGCCCAGCTAAGGGAGTACATGTTTACACTGACAGGTATTACACAAGCCCCGAGCTTGCTGATGAACTCCTGAAAATTGGGTGCTACCTAACCGGTACAGTGATGCCGAACAGGCCCCCTGGTTTGCCCCCTGGTATGAAAGCTAAGGGGAAAAAATGAAAAAAGGGGACATTCGTGCGTACCGTAAGAAATCCACAGTTGTTGTTTCCTGGAAGGATAAAAGACCGGTGCACATGCTCAGTACCAAACATAAGGGAAGCAGCAGCCACATGTCCTATGTGAACAGTAGATGGCCAAACAGACTCCCGGTTTTGAAACCTGATGTTGTCATCGACTACATCAAGCACATGGGCGGGGTTGATAGAAGTGACCACTTCGTATCGTCCTACCAGTTCATGCGGAGGACAAAAAAGTGGTATCGAAAGATGTTTTTTTTGTTTTTGGAAGTGGCAATAATCAACTCGTATTTACTGTACAAAGATGTACAATCGGCCGCTGGAAACAGAAAAGCCATGAGCCACTTCATGTTTAGGAAAAGTTTGGTCCGCAGCTTGGTGCAAGAGAGAAGCACAACAAGACCAAAAGCCAGCAGAAAGAGGGGACGACCAGTACAAGTAAGTAAACTTTTTTATTATTTTCTAACAAATATTATTCAACTCATTTCCTATTTATTTGATAAGGCTTGCAATTACAATACATCAATACACCGTAAAAACTGTAATCCCATTATATGCATATTTTTTCTTTGTCGTAAAAACTGATTTTTGGCACAAATGTAATTTCCTGAATTATTTTGTTATCTTTACACAACTTCGAGTCGGTTTGTTTTGTGATAAAAATAATAAAATGATAATTGGTTTTATTCATAATGTAAATGTGTGAGTAGTTGGTACATTTGCATAGGAACACTTTGTGTTGAGTTGAAGAAATATATATTCGTACATACATACATACGCGCGCGCACACACACACATGTACACACGCATACCTATACACACATACATATATATATATATATTTATTTATTTATTTATATGTAGGACAGATAGCCTTACACATCTGCTTACTCAACTAACAGCTACAACTACATATATGGTAGGGCTCAGTGATCACTAATATATATATAAAATATATATATATATATATATATATATCGACATGTAAATTTTTTAGGGACCTCCTGATGAAAGATTGGATGGAAGACAGCATTTCATCGCGAGGAGAGAAAAAGGGACTGGCAGATGCGTTGTTTGCACACAGAACGGCCTGCGGAAGGAGACGATTTACGTCTACGAGACATGCACCGCTCGGCCAAACTTGCACCCTGATGCATGTTTCAAAACATACCATACCATCCCTTAAGAACATAGCTAATTTTGAAAGCTTCTTTTTTTTCTAATGAACATGTAGCCTATAGTAAATTTAACAAAAAAAACAAAACTGTCAATCTTTTATTTGCTTTCCATTTTTTTGCTTTCCTTTTTGTATCTGTATACTAATTAGGTAATTACGTATAATTAAACTAATTTTAAAAGAAAATGACTTTTTTTTCTCCCATAAATCCTTTTTTTATTATAAGAAACCCAAAAAAAATTAGCTTTGATTTTTGGGAAAAAATATTTTTTTGGTATATGTAGCCTTATGGTCTAGGCCATCCAACATTTCTGTAGCGCGGTAAGGGTTAACATCATCTGTTACCATAACTGATATTTCCGTAAATGTGTCGCATACGTGTGTATGTCGCCAGTAAATATCCCAAATATATATTTTTATGTTTTACAATATGACACTCTTTACAGAAAGCAAATGTTCTTCTACCTGATGATGGTTCCATGAGAAACTAGTTGTGTTTGCAATTTTAATGGATTGCTTAAAAGCAGGGATTTAAATTTAAACCTTTCTTAATAATTTTACAGAATGCTGGAATTATCACAAGTTAAATTGAATACCTACAGGATCCTTCTTCTAGCTTTAAGTAATTTACCAATAATTTATTAGCCTTTTTATTGAAACAGGAAATAACTAACAGTATTCTAAGATAATAATTTTGAATTGTAAAAGAACAAAAACCTATAGGCCTATTATTTATTTAGTGACAACAAGTTGACAAATCGTCAATAGAAACGTCTCACCTTTAAATTAAGTTGATAAATTGATCCCTTATACATCCCTGGTTTTAATAACATTCAAAATTCCTCAGACGTAAAAAGTTTTGCTTAAAGTCACTTAACAAACCGAACTCGTCCAAATCATATTATAATTATATTTTATATTTTGCATACAAATTATTGTGCATATCATAATAATAAAAAAAAAATTCTTACATCAAAAATACACATACCTACCTAAGGCAAGAGTATAAAAAGGACATTTAAAAATTAAATACCTGTTACAATCTGGAGCGTATATAAGGTAGTGTGTCAGTTCGTTACTGGCTCAAATTAACAGTCGGGTGAAATTATTCTCACAGATTCAGTCATACGTGATGTAATGATTACTACACCTCAGCATGATATAATAGAGGTTATCTACTCCAACGATATTGATTTAAATGTGTTACAATTCTGTGCTTATAAAATTACAAAAATTACCCATTATTACATTTTTTTGTATAGTTACATTTCTTGTAACTATACAGTGTTTTAATATCTTTAAACTGATGAAATTCAAAGCTTGATATTAAACTATTTATCTTTCTGGTAACACTTAAAATACACAGTAATTAAGTTTATAGAAGTAGGAAATTTAGACGATTCCGATTAATTATTTACATTTAGATGATAACTAAAGGTGAATGCAATCTTGAAACAAAACTTCAACCCTAACTTCAAATGAATTTGTAGGATATTGTGTACCTCTAAACTATGAAACTACAGTTTGACTCCTTCTAAATCTATTAACTGAAATATTTAATTAGAACAATTAGGCTAATGATCTCTCGTTACTTATTCAGCACACTTGTAACCTAATATCTACATGATGTACCGTAGGTAGCAAATGAAATCATAAAATGAAATTATGTCACTGTAGAACATAGATGAGTTTAAGTCAATGTAAATTTATACTTATAATTATTTGTTATAAAAACTTTAAATAGTCTGGTAGACAGAAAATGTATTCAAAATGGATACGTAAAAGTATTATTTGGACAATTTACACATTAAAATTATAATGGTTAAAAATAAAAGTTAAAATAGTTTGCTACTGCCACTAAACCACAAACCCTTTAGCACTTTTTTAACAAAATACTAAATTTCATTACTCAAAATTTAGTAGCCTAGTTAAGACTGATTATTTTCATCCTACATCTATTTTTATTTGGCCTCATCGAACCGGATTATTTTACCAGTGTTTTCGCATCCCTGAATGAGCCTACAGTTTCACTATTTTAAAAACTTATTTCTTAACACAAACTGTGTTTTAAATTTTTGTCACTAAACAAACACAAAAAGCTAGTCAAATGATGAAAAGATTCTTCAGAAATAGTGGAGACTAAAAGTTAGGCCTACTGAAAATGAAAGTGTGCACAGTCCACACAGGAAGTATGCCAGCCTATTGCCTTCACAGGTGTCACTGATAATGTTATCTGGCAGGATTAATGGTTATTATCAGTCGCAATACGGGGGGAACAGGTTTTAGGAACGACTCTTTGTACTGAACGAGTCGCGTAAAGAACAAAAACATTAATTCTTGACTGAGTTAGTTCTTTGAAAGTAAATTTCATTATAGGCTAGTATAAAAATACAGCGTCTATTGCTATTCGCAGAAATGCTAATGACAAAGAATCATTTTTAAGATATTTAATTATTTTTTTTATTTATAAAATTTCCATCACATTTACAAATTTATCATTTATAGAAAAGCTTTTCAATTTCCACTAAAGTAAAATCCATCATCTATGCATGTAACCAGTTTAAAAAATCTTCAAGATAGGCCTAGTATAAGTTATTTAAAAACTGTTACAAAAAATACCAATACACAAAATGTACTGTAAATAGGAGCATGTGCATTAATTTTATGAAAGGTAGGGCCTACTGACTAAAACATAGTACATAAATCAAAATAATCATACATATAAGAGTGACGGTTCAATAATTAAGAGTGTATGACTATGAAATCCAGGAGGCTGAAGAAGACTACTTGAGAACGGTTACTTGAGAACGGTTACTTGAGGCAACGGTTACTTGAGGCTACGGTTACTTGAGAAGCAGTGAATGGGGTAGAACGATAAATTAAAAAAAGAACCTTAGACTCAACAGAACACTTCAAACAACAGAAGTACTAAGTATAGAAGGAGATGCCTAAAACCTACTGAGAATTTAAAAAGAACCGAGTTGATTGAATCAGTTGGAGATTGTGCTAAGTGTATAAAATTCTATTTTCTACCTGTAACTGAAAAAGTTGACGTGACATAAAAGATGCCATAGCAGCTTACAATATATCATCCTATCAGTCTGGCTAGGTTAAAACGTCAGCATATGCGACGGAAAGTCATTTTCATTAGCGGAACCTGTCGGTGACTCACTTCAACTAAGCATATTTTGATTTAAAACCCCGTACTAACTTCAACATGGGGATGGAAAGTCCAGTTTCCTTTATCAATACTCTAGTCCAAGATTTTATCCATGTGATTATACCGTGACTCTTCAAGTTAATCCTAAAGTAATGTGTAAAACATGTGTTGGACATGACAGTTGCCTACCTCAATGAAGGCCGCCACAGCCGAGTTGTGATACATGATGTCGCTCAAGGTCACGGTTCCACTGGTCAACACTTCTACTTGGTACTTGGAGAAGAACTCACTTCTCAGGAAATCACACCACAACCTACAGAACAACGGTTTGTATCTCAGTTTATCTCACTCATATAGTGTTGTTACATGATAAAACACTAAAACATGTCCACTGCTTAAAAACTGTCGACCAAAAGTTTAATCCTGGTCACTCCATTCAGGATGGAGGACGAATCGTGTGTCCATCGCATCTTATCCGCCTAGATTTCTAATTTTTTATTCAACCCGCTGACACCTTGCAAATTTCATGAAATTTCATTGACATTTCGTGAAGATTAAAAACAAGATTTAAACTTTTGTGTACTGCTACACAATGATGGAGTAATCTCTGAAACAGCCATAGTGTATAGTATCACCACTGACAATAGACAATAGACAATTAATCTTTATTTACACATTCATTAAGAATAGTAGTAGCGTCAATTTACAATTTTTTCTAAATGTGTGGTTGAGGTGTTGTTTAGTCAAATACCTGTTGATGGTATTCTCCTAAGGAATAGAAAGGTTGATTAATGAGCCTGATTCTGATTAAAAAGCAAGGACCAAATATGTTACTTTGAGAAATATTTTTAACAAATCACAAATATTGATATTTTGACTATAAGTTTATTTCACAAAAAAAAACGTAGGCTTACGTTAATAACGTTTAACGTAAAACAGTAGTTTTCCGGCCAAAAATTAAAAATATATTAGGCCGAAAAAGACATTGGATAATCGGAGGACTTGGATAACTGGGGCTCAGGATAATCAAGTGTAGGCCTACTGTGTGTTCTAGAGGAGACTTCTGATGGTGCTTGTAAACAAGTGATTAACGATTAACTTAGTTAGGTTAGGTTAGAATGTCCAAACATAGGCTATTTTGACTTACTCTCGCTTCATAGTGTGATATGCAAAGTCATACAGCTGTTGAAGAGTTTGATCATCACCATCCTGACTAACTCTCGCAGAGATGTCCTCTGGGATCCTAAACCTCTGGGTCAGCTCTTCTGTCAGGTACCTCTGTAAAGGTTATGACAAGAAATAGAAAAATATAGGCTATGAAACTCAAGTTGATTAAAAGCATTGCTGTATGCCTATACTATTTTAATTCTTGCAATCAGAATCTATTCTCCCAATTTTAGCCGAACTTACTAACACCTATTTTAAATAGGACTGGACTTTTATTTAATTATTCATGGATTATTATTTATTCATAGATCGTACAGCAGAGACCATTAAAAAAAAAATTGAGCATGCAATGTACATATTTAAGAAAATTAGGAAGCTACAAGTTAGGCTTAGACAACATGCATCATGATTTTTTTTGTTTAGCGAATTTCCCTATTTTTGTCCTAAGACGGCAAATTGCTAGGAATGAGCCTCCGGGATTATTTTGCACATTACTTCAGGATAGACAGGGGTTGTAACAATATCTCTTAGATACGGTAAAATCTGTTGGTGATTTAGCGGTATTTGAACCTGAGAGCGAGCTAGTCTAGTGGTTAGAGTGCGGGACTTCGGTCCCTGAGGTTCCGAGCATCATGATTTGCTGCAATCATGGCTGGATTTTGTGCTATCTGCTTCTTAATTCTTTTTAAATTTACTGAGGTTTTTTTATTCTTTATTCTTCCTGTAAGCATTAGAATAGTTGGAATTAGGATAATTTGAGTTCCCCGGTACAAAATGTTGGTACAATTCATGGCATGTTGGACTGCTGACAAAATGGATGGCAGAGTTTTCAGATTAAGCTTTTGATAATACTGGAAGAAAAGACTGTAAAATACAGCGTATGCGCAACCTATTTTGATTTTGAATTCAGTACTTCAAGCAAAAGGAATGAATAACCAGCTGAAAACTTGTCCAACTAACCTGGCAAAACTTTCTACGTGTAATGGGGGAATCACTATCACTACCACAACGTAGTCTCCCACTAACACTAACACTTGCACCACTACTATCACTAGTCCTCAGATCTTGCAAGTCCAACAACAGGGAGAGAAGAGGTGCGTGTCCTCGTAGATCAGCAAAGTGAGCGAAGTAGGACAACGCCACACGATCCTGCAGCACCTCTAGCAGGTTGGGGGACAGCCGGGACCGTTGCGGAGGAGGGGTGTCAGCTAGAACAATGGAATATAAGGTACATTAGCCTAGCTTTCAGAAGATTAAATTAAATTATCTACTGTATTATGTTGAGGGCTATCAATATTTTAAGGTCCATAGTTTTAAAAGAAACTTAGCCAATAGGGCCTAATATAGTTGGCCTTGACATAGGATTGTTAATGTTTAGTCTACAAGAAGTAATGTAACATGTACAAGGAATTCCTGGTAAGACAGAATTTCCATTAAAGGCCTAACTTTTAAAAGTTTTTTTTTAACCAAGGGAATTATTTTTAACAACCCTTTGTGGAAATCTTACATTTTAAAACATGATGATGACCCTAAGGGGTTTTTCCCCTGAGGTAGGGTATTGAAACATTAGACAAACAATGTAGGCCTACTTTTACATGTGCGTGTATAAACAACGCCATAACTTAGGTGTGGGAACAAAAACGTATTAACCTTCCCAGTGTCAAACATATCAATGCATCAATGGTAATGATAGGCCTACGCTCTGGGGTGTCAAGCGCCATGCAAAGACAATATTTTGGTTCCCCGCTGGACAAATGTGAAATTTAAAGCCTAAAAACATGTTTTTATACGTATTTGAGGTCTAAAGTATGCTCAATCTATTAGTATTTATGTCAGCTAATAAAATATAGCTGCACTTTAACTTAGTTTACGTCCTACATTTACTCATATACCGGTACCGGTACTGCAGTTTGGTTAGGTTTGGTTTGGAACAGTTTCATTTTTATAATCAGCTGGTAGTTAATGTATAGGTAACAGTACGGTAGGTTAAATGGTAATTATTCCGTACAGGTGCCTCCAAACGAATTTTTAATTTTGATATCTTACTTTATAGTTTTTTACCTCTTGAATCCAAATATACCATTAATTTTCACCGCTGATGAATATTTCTCAAGATAACGCCGTAAAAACATACTTAACATTACAATAAACAAGGTACGATGGATGACATTTACAAGTGGAATGTACTATGGGTTAAGTAAACCAACCAGCTGATTGTTTTCAATCATAGTCAAGCAAATGGAAGTGACAACTTTAATTAGCTAACTCTGATTCTGCAATATGAAAATCACCTGATTAAGTTACACTTTTCACTTTCTAAGACCAATAAGTTAATAATGTATTATTGTTACCAGTATTTTATCCTTATTAATGATTTATTGATTTATATTTCGCCGTTTAGAAATTACATACTAAAATGGTGCTATTCTAACATAACCTAACCCAACCAAACCTCTAGAATGTGTAAGCAAACTCCTTAAGCATTTTTGAAATAGTAATTTGAAGTGTTTTTCTCAGGATTTTAATTTTACAAAAACAGTTTGCAGGCGACATAAACTAACAACTCGATACATTATAACCTAAACTTTACCTTCCTAATCTAACCTAACTTCAAAACACTTAATGCAGCACCAATTCACATATAGCACGACCTACCACCCTGACATGCCTAAATAAAAACTACGAGTAATTAGTCCATTATTCCATCTATATCTCCATAATGTGACGAAATTCCTATTGTAGTAAACATTAAGTTATCGACTATAGAATCACTTGATATGTTTCTACAAAGTTATAGCACGGCCGCCTGCGGCCGTGGTTAAAGGCGGCCGTGTCTACAACGATGTTATTATCTTCAGTCAACGATGTTATTCTTCTCATCAACCATGTTACTCTCTTCACTTAACTTAATCTGAACTTGTGATGGCGACGGCGTAGCAGACAGAAAGAATAGCACTTAGCTAGCACTACGCAACACGTATGAGTAGGTACGAATGAGTATTTTGATTTGTATTTTATTTGTAGTGAAGTAAAATGTCGTCAATAGGCAAATTGCCGGTGAAAGAATCGGCTGTAAGTAGGCTTAAGGCTTAGTTAACCTACAGTTCATTCCACTTGTAAATGTCATCCATCCTGTCTTGTTTATAGTAATGTTAGGTATGTTTTTACGGCGATATCTTGAGAAATATTCATCAGCGGTGAAAATTAATGGTATATTTGGATTCAGGAGGTAAAAAACTATAAAGTAAGATATCAAAATTAAAAAATCGTTTGGAGGCACCTGTACGGAATAAATACTGGTTAAATGTAGGACGTTAACTCAAGTGCAACCTAAAATATTTGGGGAGGGGGATATATCCCTCCCATCCCCCCTTGGGACCGCTACTGTCAATTTGTAAATAATTGATCAAACCAACCTATGAAACAACTAAGTTAATCTTGAAAGGGCCAAAGTGATAATTTAATAAGAATTACCGTAGGCCATACTAACTTACCTCACGATCTTTATAATTTGGTCTCGTAGAGTGATACTCATTGTAGGCACAGAGAAGTAGTAGGCCTAAGATACAGAGGAAACATTCTTGAAACAACCGGGTGCGCTTTTAGCTCGGGAATGGTGGGATAGCAATATACCTACTAGTACCGAGCAAGGAAGAGTCAAAACTGCTATTGTTTACAACAATAGCAGTTGTAGTGCCCAGGCTCTTCCTACTGTGTGAGCGCTGTATTACGTGATGGTGAGGGGGAAAAGGTGAGCAGAAGGGGCCCGCCAATAGAATTTGCAATAGACACAACACAAGCAACTGGAGCTAGACACTAAGTTACTTAAGTGTACCACTGAATGCTTCCTCTGTAAGTTATCTTACTTCTCTGTGGTGTAGGCTACATCCTAAGTTATTTAGGGCATTCACTTAGGCCTAACCTAGTCTAACTTATCGACCGAAATGCTGCTAGTGATTGATTTAACAAAACTTCAAAATTAATATAGGTACTTACTGTAACCATCGTGTTGGAAGTTTGCAAGAGGGCCTTCTGCAGTTGAATCTGACAAGGAAGGCAGGAATACTCCAACAGGCAAGGCTACACCGTTTACATTTTGATTTGAGGTTCGATCGACCTTTTCTTTGTTAATTGTTTTCTTCCAAAATTGTAGCATCATAAAAACATAAACAATAATAAACGTTCTTCTTCCTATGACGTGATCACTATTTAAAGAAACAAACAGGCCCAATGACCCGCCTGAGTTCACTTATCAAAATTCGCCACTTAAAATGCATGGTAAACTGTGTTATTCCGACGGCCGTCATACATCTTGAGGTAACCATCACTACTACATGAGAATGTACAAAATGTTTATGATCACATCGGCGTGATAGCTTGTTGTGTTGTGTTGATAATTAGTTATTTAGCAGTTTAGCACGAGAAAACTTAACTTGACAAATTGACACATTTGTTGTCAACGTTGCCGCAACTGACAGCTGACTCGGACTTCCCTTCCCAACATCTCAGCTGATTTAATGTACCTATTTAACTTTTATTTCGAGCAATGTTGCCAACACCAACAAGTTAACTACTTAGTCAATGGTTATATTGTGTTTGCAAATATGGTTCACGCACTACAATTTATTTACCGTATGCATGTATTTTTTGTGCGTTTTCTACGCCAATCGCATTTTTACGTTTTTAAAAGGACGGTCCAAACCCTAGTCTTGTTACTATCGAACGTTTTGTGTACCTAACTTACCATTAACCAGAACTGTGTATGGTGTATGTTCTAAAGGTAAAGCGTATAATACAAATACATGACATCGTTTATATCTTTTCATTATAAAATTTTTATTTATTTACTGAAGCACAATCTCTTTCTGGGGGACACGGAAATGGTACCAATAACCATACACGTAGATTGTTTTTATTCGATGTAGGTACAGTAATAAAAATATATCGAAAAAATCAAACGGTGGCTACTGGCTATAGCATCCCCAGATAGCACGTAAGCTTGATTCAAGCCTTGAATTACGCTTGCTTTTACTTGAAATGACAGCTTTGAATGGTCAATTTAGATTCAAACTCGAGTCAAATGTCAACTTCGTGTAACACACTTGAATTACGCTTACAGTGGATTGAATTAACAGCTTTGAAATGTCACATTAGATTCAAACTGGATTCGAGTATACACAACACGCTACTATTACGCTTGCACTTGCTTGTATTAACAGCTTTGAAATATCACATTAGATTCGAATCCGAGTCGAGTGTAATATTACCCACAATGCACTTCCATTACGCTTACGTTGGCTTGAAATTACAGCTTTTAAGTATCACGTTGGATTCGAATTGGAGTCGAGTGTAAGTTACCCATAATTCCGAGCGGGAACGACGCTACGCTAACGGTGGGACCGACACTTGAAGACGAAGAAGACGCCAACGGCCATATCGCTTTGTTTTGTTTATTGTGTATTTGTGAGTGATTCATTCTCAATCTCTCTCATTGAGTTGAGGATATCGATATTGTGGTGCTGAGTTGTTTAAGTTGTTATATTATTGTTAAAGCTGATTTTTTATGTTTCATCTAGGCCTATTTCTTCTTATCCATCAAGGTAAGTTCTTATTAGCACAAAATAAGTAAACTCAAGTCAAGGATTGTAACTAACAAAATCAAATCGTCTTAAGTTAATTACAAGAATAGCCAAGGAAGAAATTAAGTAAACTCAAAATCAGTGAAAATTTTGAAAGAACTAAGTATAGCCTAAAGCTAGCCACTTTTGAGTTGGTAAGCCTACGTGCAATGAGTAGCCTAGCCTAAAAAATAAAAAGGTTAGAGGCGAAGTGTATTTAAATAGGCTATGACCGATAATTTGTTGTCAACTTATCGGCCTAACTTTGTTTGAGTTGTTTGTATGCATAAAAACATTGTTTTTTACCAGCTTGGATATCAAGTTCTCCATGTAAGGTACTTAGGTATTGTGGTACCAGTATGGTCTAACTTAGGCCTAGGCATTGTCTTCACTGTTTGTAGTATAGACTATGGTAGGCTATAGCCTAGATTAGCCATAATGGGCCTAAGTTACGTTGTAGACTATTCTATATAGCTGGGTTTTTCTAGGGGGGGAGAGAGTGGCGTGGAGAGTGAACTCCTCTTAGTTTAATCTTAATGTTTTCTTAGGAAGCAGAGCGGAATGCCATGTTAATTGATTTTCCGCTCTCCGCGCTCCTTTTCCGCGTATAGGAAAACCCAGCTTTAGACTTAACTTAATGCCAAATGATTCAAATGATTTATTCGGCCATTCAGTTCACACAAGACAATAGGCTAAGTCAACAATACAATAAATAATAAATAACATGCCAAGCTTCTTCTAGCATTCTTGACTAACAAAATTAAATTAAAAGCTGAAAAAAAAAAACACATGCAGTATCTCAATCAATATGAAACATGCAAAGCAATGCATGCAACTAAAAATATAAAAAAAATGAAAACTACATGCTGCAAGCCATGCAAGGCAGAGAAAAATAATTTGCCATATTTTATACCATGATGTTTTAATGTGTAGGTAACTTATAACTTAGGGCTAGGGACTTAAAGCTAAGTTACTTCAGTAGCCTACTCGATAAGTATCTAAGCCTACTTTGTTAGTGACACTGTCAGATAAAATGCAGTAACCTACGTTTAATCGCAGTAAGAGTCTGGTCAACTTTCAGGCGATTAGTTTCTGATATAGGTAGCCTACAACATTTCTTCTCCATTAAACTAAAATTGGCATTAAGTTAGGTTAATTTACTTTGATTTAGTCCACTTAACTTAAGGCCTATTTTGCTTGGAGCGACTGTAGCGATAGTCGCACAGCGATTATCGCTCAGTTACTATTGCTGTTACGGCGACCGTTTTGCTTAGAGCGATTGATTTACGGTCGTCGTACGATTTTTCATCAGCACTCACAATGGTGAGGTCATGAGTGCGTGTTGTAACTTTTTAACCATCTCCTCAGGGAGGAGTTAGAAGACGAGGCTCTACTTGACCCTAGGGGAAGTATCAATAGACGATCGATAGAAAATACATAGTGATAGGATAGGATAGCAGTGAGTGATAGGGTTTGGAACGGATACGTATCACTAGATGTCATTAGGTAGGATATAGAAAACTGTAGGCTAGTTTAAGCTACTTATTTAAATCAAAACTAAGAAAAATGCAAAGGAACCTAAACCTAAATAAATAAGTAGGCTAGGTTATTTATTTAGGTTACTTATTTAGGTTTAAGTTTTTTTGCATATTTCTTCATTTTAATCCTTTAGCCTATAGCAAAATAGGCTAGTATAATATACAATACATATAAAAATAAATTAGATTAAAATGTTTTTCATGGACCCCACAAAAAAATGCTTGCGGACCACACCTTGAGAAACTCTGACCTAAGTTAAACTTAATAATTTAGGTACATCGAATGAAACATTTTAATCTGAGTCAAACATTTAAAGTTATATCTTTAATGAAGTATTTTATGGGAAAATATCATAATCCTAACTTAACTTAATATTTTAAGGTTACCTAAGTTAAATTATCGAATAAAAGTTGCATCTGATGATATAAAATAGGCCTTTTGTAGGTTTATTGCAGAACTGTACCTGGGTGTTTTAATATAAATAATATAAATATTTTATAACTAAAATAACTTAGGTCTAGGCTTAAGTTTAGACACAGGTTATATATTAAAGATCTTCTAAATAAAGTTATACACATCGGCCTACAGCTGGATTATTTTTAACCAGAAGCGGTTAAGATAGGCACTGTAGGGGTGGCACAATTTTTATTTCACCTGCGGAATTTTAATACGGACAAAATGAGAGTAAAAAAATAAAAAAAAATTATAATTTGTCTAATATAAGAATTAAACTGTCATAACCTAACCTAACTAACCAAACTTGCTGATAATCGCTACTGATGATCGCTATTACTAATCGCTACTGAATAATTTACTACCTTTAGTCCATCAGTGACATTGAATATTAGGATCGGTCTATTTTGATCGCCCTACCGGCGCATGTACCAATCAGTAGCGAACTTGTTAAACAAATGATTTATTAAAATATTAAGGATAGCCTACCTAATATGAAACGAAAGTAAAATCTTGAACTTCAGAAATTAAACCTAACCCCATGTTTGAAATGGGAAGACAAACTTTAGGTCTTAGGGGTTAAATGTAGGCTATCATTCTGTATTAAGTTCATTTTAAGTATTTTTTTTAGCTGCTGCACAGAAAATGTCGGTCATAAGTGAGGTCACGGAAGCCAAAGTTACAAGCGTTGTTGCTAAGTGGCTTCAACAAGCCAAAACCAGATGTGAAAGAAGGTAAGGATAAAAAATTGTCACTAACTATAGTTCGGCCGCTTAGAAAACGACCTGCGCGCTAATGCTAAACCAATGCTGGAGTAGGTCGTTTTCTAAGCGGCCGAACTATAACTATTGAACTCATCATTAATAGAATTCCATTGGTAGCCTAATAATACTGTACAGTGGAGTTATACAGGGAAGGAGACAGTTGAAACTGACGTGCCCTCATATTTGTTACATGATAAAAGTCTAATAGAAAATATATTTAAGCCAATAATTTTAATTCTGTAAAAATAGCCAAACTATAGACACTTTGGGATAATTACTGTGATGCCAAGACTTTATGCCTTTTAAATATTTTGATCTTTAGACATGTGATGAATGGTCTCAAATCTATCCTACAAGACAAGTTGTTTCAGCACCGCTCACTTCCTGCCGATCCAGTGTGGTTAAACCGTACTGATAAAAATTGTCTGGTTTAAGAAATATATCTGCTGAGTGCAGTCTGGTTACTAGGTGATCGGGTAAAAAGGAGTCTACTGCATAATGGTTTTTCATAAAAATGTTTTTTATTGTTTATCATTATGCTTACTCAAGTACTGTATAAGCTAAAAATACCCCCGCCGCAGCAAACCTGCCGACTAAGTGAATTTCCATTTGCCTGAATTGATTTTCAATTAAATGTATTTAATTAACATTAGCTTTAATGAGTACCTAGACTTGCTGCTACAAGGAGGGTAAAAAAGTGTGTTTTTTAGTAAAATATTAATTACTTAGTATCAAATAAATAAATTTACCAAGTTTGGACAAAAACAAGCAAACTACGACATTTTACACTGTTCTCCATAAGAATTTAAAAAAATATATATTTATTTTCTCCATAACCAATAATTGTACAAAAACACTTTGATACACTAAATCATTTGTTTTTTTTAAGCTCTTTAAAAAGGTTTGGAGAGAAATTGGGAAATTTTGTGATTAAAGGGTCAAAAATTAGAAAACCCCATTTTTACCCCATAAAACCCCGTTCCCATGGTCCGATCATGCTGGTTCGCGAACTTATTCAAGTTTATCCGGCCTTACACCTTTAAACCAAATTTCATCAAAATCGGACAAAAATTAACTTAGCCTACACAAGTTATCGTGTTCACGGAC